CTATTCTTGTTAACACAAGAATGTGCAAAGAAGGGCAGCTATAGACACCTATTTTTTTATTGGGATTAAAATATATATTATATTTATTATTATATACTATAGTATGATTATTATTATTATTAATATTACTAATATCATTTTATTTATATTTTATGCAGGCTAACAAGTGACAATTATAAGTCCAGAATATACACTCACTACCCACACCGCCAACTCCAATTAGCCTCTGTGTCAACGACAAGATCTTATCCTCACCAACAGCTCAGGCCATTTCAATCGAATTCATCAAGTCACATGCACCAAAGTCAATCAAAATTAATGATTTCACCTAACCCATCAACGTCATACCAAAAACAAAGAAAATACAGATGCATCCAAGGAGATTCGGTGAAGATTTCAATAATAAAAGGGGGAGAGGATTCAAAAAACAAAAAAACATATTGAAATAGAGAGATTGGGGAAAATCCTTGTAAACAATACACTGTTAACTCTATATTCAAGCAATAATAGACTCAAAAGGGGTATCAATTATTTTTTTCCTATTATTTTGTCATTTTAATGCATTTTTCCCTTGATTTGTTCACTTTAAATCCTTGCATGTTCGATTAGGTTGTGTAGAGTTTCTTTTCGGTTCTCTTCAGGTATAGTAATATATATATATATATATATATATATATATATATTAAATAAACAACCAACATAGATATACATTTTTATTATTTTCGAATCTAACCTAGTTTCCCTCAAATGACAGAAAATAATATAAAAAAAAAGAATAAATAGAGAGGAGTCAAGAGGTTACCTGAGAAGAGGAAGGCCATCATCGGAGCACGGTGGCCAAGTTGGTTTTAGTTTTGGTGTGCGGCGCTGTGGAGTAGAAAGAGGAAGAGAAGAGTTGAATGGTTTTTGCTTTTAGGTTAAGTTCACGTGTAAAATAAAAAAGCAGAGGAGATATTATGTCTCATGGGTATTTTTGGGTAAATCACCTTAGGTCCCCCACGCCTTGCTATGTTCTTGCATTTTAGTCTTTATTTTTGTTGTTTCTTTAATTTAAAAACTCTATTTGCATTCTTTGAAATCTGATTTTTTTATATTACCTCCCTATTTAATTTTAAATTGGTATCCATAATTTATTTTTATTGCATATTGCTCCCTATGTAAATTTTGGTGATAAACATTAATATTAACTATTAATTATTAACAATTATTTTTAAAATTAAGATTTATATGCTAATTTTTATTTTTCGTACACATGCCATATATTTTCTTTTGGTTCATTTTAGTCACTAGCTACATGCAAAGGAAATGCATTTTATGTTTGTAATCCCTGTACTTTTGCTCTAAATGCATTTTAGTTATGCTTTGGGTTACTTTCATATTATTTTGAACCTTTTATTTTATTTGCATTATATTTTAATCCTTTATGTTTGTTTACTTATTAGACCAAATTATCCCTATTTATTTTGATAAATTAATTTCACAATCTATTCGATTTATTAAAAATATACTCACTTGCCTTTTAAAACTTATTGTCCGTTTGTTTTAGTATCTGCATGTTTGATTTTTCCATTTGTAATTCATATATTTATTCTCATTTTTATATTAATATAGTGGGCATGGTACATCTATATATGTGTTAAGATTTCTTTAAATTGTTATATTGTATCTTGAATTACGTGTATGATATATATATATATATTAACTTTTATTAAAATATGCATGATATATATATAAATGTTTTACGCATTATACCTATATTTTAACTTTTATTAAATCTCTTTGATAATACTTTTAGTATTGTTATCCGAACGTCTTTCAAGAACTGATTTATAGTACGGACGTGGAAAGTATTATTTGATTAAAGTGGTATAATCCGATACGATGTTCGAATGAAATAAGATTTAAAATAGATCTAGTTTGTTTTACTAATTAAATCTTTTGTGATTCAAGGCATTTATATGTAGTAATTTATTTTGTTGTTTGCAAATTGTCGATAATTTATATTCTATTTGCATTTTTTTTTAAATCAATGAGGATGAAATTTTCTTTATGAATAAGAAATAGATGAAATATCCTTTCCGACAAAAGATTGCTATTGTCGAGATTTCTTTTCAAATTAAATTTGTTTTCTCTAATTAGTTAATTAATTTGAAGTAAATTAATTAATACTCAATAAATGGATCATATATTAACTATATATATATATATATATATATATATTCAATTCATGATTTCTACCATTTACGATGATATGTAAGCGATACAGTACCAGTTTTGGGCGCTGTGGGGTGCTAATCCTTCCCCACGCGTAACTGACTCCCGAACCCGTTTTAATCGAATCTTTGATAAACGCATACCATCTTTTGTCTTAAAAATGATTTTTTCTTAAAATTATTTTTAAAAGACAGTTTTGGGTATTCGACCTACCTAACCCAAAGGTCGATGGTGACTCTTTTCAATTTAATCCAAATTAATCCAAAATCACTTAATTTTCAAAAATTAAAAGTCGTAACTATGGTTTTTAAACAATTAAAGGATTGTCCCGCCGGAAAACAGTTACGACAACATGATAAAAATTACATTTTAAACTATGAATTTTAAAGAGTGTAAGCACATGTGGCATAATTTTATCATTTTTCTTTAGGTTGCAAATGAAATTAAAAATCAAATATGTAAACGAACGATAAACAAACACTGAAACAACGTTAAACAACATTAAATTAACTCTAAACGAACATGTTTATGATCACATTCATGAACATCAATCGAACGCTAAACAAACATGTTTCATGAACACGTTCGTGAACATATAAACGAACACGTTCACATCATTAAATGAACATGTTTGTGAACAATACATAAACGAACACGAACATCTTCAAAAATAATAAACGAACATGAACATGATATTGAAAATCTAACCGAACACGAACCGAATACCTTCAAAAATAAATAAATAAACACAAACATATCCTTTTTCGTTCAAGCTTAATTCATTTACACCCTAAATCCAGGCAACCAATAAGATTCCTAACTTCATCCATGTGCGAAATGATAAAAAAATATTAGAATTTAGGTTAAAATACGTATTGTTCCCGTACTATTTGTCCATATGAAAATTAGTCTCTCTACTTTTTAAGTTAAAATATTAAATTTCAATTGTTAAAACATATGATACACAAATTTATTAAATTTTAGGGGTAAAAATATATTTATTAATAGAAAATAAAAAAAATTTAAAGTATATAATAATCTAAAATTTTCAAGGAAGATTACACCCACCCACTCTCCCTTCAATCCATTTATCACTAAATTTTAAATATATAACAAGGATAAAGACTTAAAGGGTGTTTTGGTTGGTCAGAAATCTCATTCCCGGTAATGTTTTATTACCAATAGTAGATTTTTTGGGGTATATTACCGGGAATGTCATTACCTCCCTTCCCTTAGGTATTGTAATATTACCGGCGTTTTGGACTAAAATGCCCTTAATTTTTTATTTTTTTTCAAAAATATCATTCTTCTGTCATTAAATAATAAAAATTCTATGAGAGTTAAATTACAAATTTATCCTTAAATTATTTAAGATTTACAAAAAAAGTCTATAATTAAAATTTTATATGAAGTTCAGGGATTAAATTTTTTTTACTCTTTCATTAAACCTTTTTTATATTTTTAATTTTGTAAAAAAAATTATATAAATATTATGAATTTAATTTTTTTATAGAAAATATATAAATATTTTACAATTTGTAATATTATACAAATATATAATAAGGACAATTTGATCAAATATACATTCCAATAATCTTTATTCCTTTAACCAAACACGGTAATCTTACATTCCTACGAAACCAACCAAACACGGTAATCTTACATTCCTGCTAAACCAACCAAACACAAAATACAACATTCCCAGTAATCCTATTCCCTGGTAATCTTTTATTCCCACTGGTAATCTTTTATTCCCACTGGTAATCTTACATTCCGTGAACCAAACGCACTCTAAGGGTAATAAAGCATCTCATACAGTAGTGATTTGTTAGGCTTTTCTGAAAATGTCATTCACTTTGTTTTCTTATGTATTAGACAATTTTTTCATTTATGACAAGAATACCCTTAAAATAATATGACTATTTAAAATGATCATTCCTTTTGTGTATAATTATATTGAAATTAATTTATTTTATTTTTAATTGTGATTTTATTTTTTAATACCTATTATAAAATAATATCATACATATAATAAAAATAAAAAAATATTAAAATTTTATTTTATTTTAAGTGTTTATTTTTGTATATGCTTGATTCAGGTTTTATTTTTTATATATATTTTATTGCGTTTATTTTTTTAGAATTAATTTCATAAAATGTTTTATGTTATAATTTTTATGTTTTCTATTAATTTTTTTAAAATAATTTGATATGATATTTTGTTATATAACTCATACATGTAGCATGAATAAAAAACTATAACAATTAACACATGCTTACACAAGTGTAAATACCTATATCTCTTAGTATCTTGATATTTAAAAATAAACACATAATTATATTGGTGTAACTATATTTCTATATTTTTAAAAAATAAAAAATTAAAAGTAATAAAAATTATATTTTGATTTTAATATTGAGAATGTAACTTACTAAAAGTTATATATTTTAAAAATAATTTAATAAAAATACATTTTTTATATTTATTCAGCCAAATTACATTTTTTTCAAATAAATAAAATAAAATAAAATAATATTCCTAATTATAGATTAAGTAATGAGACATTTTAATAATCTTATTGTTAGTAACAATCTTACGATTGGTGAACCAAATAACTCGTGTAATCTATATTTTAACCCGAAAAAGATTAATGACAATCCACGAAACTACTGGAGAATTGTGGGTCAGTGATGGTTGCAAAGCATAAATCGCTAACACATGCGCAACGCAACCCAACCCAAATAAAGAGGAAGTGCTGAAAACGAAATTTTCAGGCCGAGTTTGGGCAACGCGTCTGGATCTGGATTCTTTGTTACATTCTTCTCCCAAAGTTCCAGTTTGATAATCTCAATAGGCATCCCTTCGAAACCAGATTTTGCGGCATAAATTTCTCGCTGAGGGCTGGTGAAAACTCTGTACAGATGTATGTAAATTTTCTTTTTGTGCTTCAATTCAATATATATGGGAAGATTTGTGTCGGATTTGAGATTGGTTGTCTCAGATTCATTTATTTTTATAAAGTTTTCAAGCATGAGTTACCATTGATACAATGTAGCGATTTGGGTTCTTTTTTTCTTGCTGTTCTTATTGTGTTCATGCATATCTAGCTGCTAATTGATTTCTTTCTTGTACTTTTTTCGGGGTAATCATTTTATTTATTTGATTGTTTAGTTCTTGGTGAGAATTATGCGTGTTCCAGTTTGACTACGTTTAACATTTATGTCGGCATATAAATATATATTCATTGCGTCTAGTTTATGCATTTACTTTTCCCTGTACGTTTATTGGATTAGATTTACTCTATTTTTTTTCTTTCTTATTTTGTAGTTTCTTTTATTTGCATTTGTTTGTTATTTTGAGTTCATGTTTTTTACTGTGCTTGTGAATAGGGCTATAAATGAATTGAGTATTCACTGAACTATTCGTTCATGCATTATTTGTATATGTTTTTTTTTTAAGTTAAACAAACGATAATTAACAAAAATTTCATATTCATTTAGTAAACGAACGAGTTTAAACAGAGATGTGGTCGGTTCCTTTATATTCACAAACAAACTTGTTTGTTAGCCAGTCTATAAGCTCATCTATTGGTTTTTTATTTAAAGTTGATACTTTTCCTATAAAAGATATTTAGAAAATATTGATGTTTTACTTTATTTATTTATAAAATGATTTTTAATATATTTGTTTGATTATTCTATATCTACAAAAATATAAATATGTTCAATTATGATTTGTTTGTTTATTATTCATTAAAAATATTAATTGTTGGCAAACATGTTCAATTACATGATTATGAATATATTGTCTAACATGTTCCTTTTGTGTTCATGAACATGTTCAACGAACATGAACACACATAATTTTAAAATTTTTAACGAAGAAGGTTAAAAATAATTAAACAAACATGAACAAAGATCTGTTCGTTTAAGTCGTATTAATATACAGCCGTGCTGTGATTGTCTTCTATAGCCTCTTTTATCAAAGTATGCAATCAAAATTTTCCCGACTTATGATTTAATGCTTCATTGTTACTCGATCTGAAGACATGCTGTTAGATGATACTAAACGTCATGATCTACATGCTTCTTATGTCATCTAATCATGTTTTGCTGAGGAAAACATCTTGCATTGGTAATCTGGTTTTCTTAATTTCTATCCTTTATGGGTATTTTTTTTTCAACTTTCTCAATTCAGCATGAAGTCTATTCCTGATCTTGCTCCTTTAGAAGCAGTATTGTTTGATGTTGATGGAACTTTATGTGATTCTGATCCTCTCCACTATCAAGTCTACTGTGAAATGCTCCCAGAGGTATTTGTTGATTTCTTCACTTTCTTATTTAACTCTCAAATAAATCATCTTTTATCAACTCTGGAACTAAATGACCTTATTATATGTTACAAGTGTGTTAAATTTTTATATGTTTTTCTACCTATTTGAAGAATCATATCCCAATTCCAGTGTCTGAATACGAATACTACAAGAAAAATAGAACAAAGGGTATCGACACAGCATAAATTTTATTTCGATTTGTGTTGAAGTCAAGCATGTTCTTCATTTTCTTAATTCAAGGTACAATGCCTGTTTGTACTTGCAAAACTGAGAGCAATTTGAGGTTTTATTGTTTGCATGTTCTTCATTTTCTTAATTCAAGGTACAATGCCTGTTTGTACTTGCAAAACTGAGAGCAATTTGAGGTTTTATTGTTTGATAATGCTAATACATTTAAACAGATTGGTTTCAATAATGGAGTTCCAATCGATGAAGAATTCTTCATCAAAAATCTTGCTGGGAAGCACAATCCTGATATAGCCGTCCTTCTCTACCCTGATGATATACCAAGGGGCTTAAAGTTCATGGAAGATAAGGAAGAAAGGTTTCGCAGGTATAAAACTGTGAATGTTTCATGTTTGATCCATTTTGAAAACTATTGAAGTTTACAGTTTGATAGAAATACGCTTTCTGGATGAAACAGGTTGGTCTTGGAAAACTTACCACCGATAAAGGGTCTATACAAACTAACAAAATGGATCAAAGATTGTGGGTTAAAGCGAGCAGCTGTAACTAATGCTCCGAAACAGAATGCCGAACTCATGATCTCGAAACTTGGCCTCAAAGAGTTCTTCGATGTTGTTATTCTAGGAAGTGATTGCAAGCGTGCTAAGCTGTATCCAGATCCTTACTTGAAGGCACTTGAAGTACTCAAGGTGTCAAAGGATCACACATTTGTTTGTGAGGTGTGCCTTCTTTTCCCGACCACGTTTCCAACATAAAGAAGTCATGAATATGAACATTATTTCAAAAGCTTGCTCTGGTTTTTCTATTGTCCAGGACTCAGTATCGGGGATAAAAGCAGGAGTTGCAGCAGGGATGCCAGTTGTGGGGTTAACGACTAGAAACCCTGAAAGTGTTCTTAAGGAAGCTAATCCAACTATTCTCATAAAAGATTATGAAGACCCTAAGTTATGGGAGGCCTTAGAGGAGCTTGATAAGAGGAGAGGTTGAAAACATCCGCTTGAATTCCAAAGCCATTTAGGAGGTTTAACTTTATTCGAATAATAATACACCCACAATTTGCTTATTCATATGATTCTTTTTCCTTTTTGATATAAGAATAGATACCATTCCTTTAGTATAGATACTAATCATATAGTACCAATGCTAGGATAATTTTATCGAATTTTCTCAACCTGAGTCCTATTTTAGTATCATTACCAAGGTTACTACCAAGGGATAGTCTTGATACTACGCCTAGTATCAATAATTTTAGTATTGATACTACATTTAATATTAATACATGTTCAAAGATAACTCTCAATCATTTGACATTAAAAGCTCATACCTCTGGTATTCCTGGTGCTCGAACTCGAAATCTTAAAGAATAATAATAATTTATTTATCACTGTGGTCATTCGATTCGTGCTTGGTACAACTTGTCGTAAAATTTAGGTAATCTTATTCATCATATGAAACTGTCCAGAACACATCAAAACATTGCTATAACATGTCATTCCACCATGTACACTTATCTTAAACGATTTATAAAAATGATTAAATTAATTTATCATAATGATATGCACGTGGCAATGAAACCAATATATTTATAAAAATTATTTACAAAGCACTAGTTTTAGATTCTAAAATTCTCGCCATTTCTGGTACCGACTCTTCCAAGTTCTATCCACGAATTGTATTATAAAAAGTAAAAGAAAAAGAGTAATGCAAAGACCAAATGTCTTCCGGGCATCCTTTGATCTTTAAACTCTCTCTTAAAAACCTTAAGCTGCACAGCTCAAAGGAAAACATGGGACATCCAGAAACTCATAGTTCAAACCTTCAAAACCTATCAAAACAGAATCATCTTATATTGATCTTATTCGATCTTCGCCCGCCACCCTTTCGAGTGGAAGACATACCGGAAGACTTGTCAACCAAGGAACTTGCGTCCTCGGATTCTTGTATTACTTGCTTCAAACTTTCTACCACTTGACTCATTGCTGGTCTTTCTTTGGCATTTTTGTTTAGGCAACTGTTAGCCAACTTTCCCAATTTTTGTGCTGCTCTGAGTGAATAATTGCCTCTAAGTCGAGGATCCATTATCATGCCGAATCGTCCATTATCGGGAGGAAACCGTTTAACCCAGTCTAGAAGCTTCTGCTCCGACGTGGGGCGGTTTCTTTCAACTGTTCGCCTCCCCGTGAGCATTTCGTAAAGTACCACTCCGAATGTCCATGTATCACTTTGGATTGTGAGATGGCCTGTTTCTACATACTCTGGCGCAGCATAGCCGTAAGTTCCGACCACCTTTATGAAAATGAAAACAAACACAATGTCAACCACCTTAATTCAACAACTGTTACGGAAATGCATCATGCTTCTCAAAACTTTTTAAAAGGCAAGTGTGACTCCTGAGAGACAGATTTAGAGAAACACTTGAGATGCTGAAAATGCACATTCTTTGCACATATCAAATTAGTCTTGAAATAGTGTATCCCGATATCTACTCACCGCCGTTGATACATGAGTCCGATCACCTGTTGGCCCTTCTCTTGCAAGACCAAAGTCCGAGAGCTTCGGCCTAAAATTTTCATCCAAGAGCACATTTGAGGATTTGAAATCTCGATATATCACCTGTTCAAATAACACAATTGCAGTATATTAACAGTTAGGTAAATTTAGTGCATATGTGATGACATACCATGGTTCCATATAAAAGAAGATTGCACCTTGACTTCAAATCCTTCATGTAGATAAGCCAGTCCTTCAGCCGCACCAAGCATGACATCTAATCTTGTTCTCCAAGGCAACGTGGAAGTTGTGTTAAAAAGATGATCTTCTAAGCTCCGATTAGGCATGAATTCATACACCAGCAGTCTTTGAGTCCCTCTTTCGCGTTCAACCGAACAATATCCTAAAAGTTTTACGAGGTTCCGGTGACTAACGACGCTGAGAAACTGAATCTCCGCAAGCCATTCCTTATGACCCTACAAGATTAACAACAGCATCCTAAGAAACAGAAACTAGCAAATAAAAAAAAGGTTTTAGCATGTTCTACAAGCTACTATTGTTTAAGGTACCTGTAAACCGTGCGTGTTAAGCCTCTTAACAGCAACAACAATGGGATCACCTCGATCATCGAGAGGCCTAATTGTTCCCTTATAAACACTCCCGAAGCCGCCCTCGCCGATCTTAAGCATCCTATTGAAACCCTTTGTAGCATCCTTCAACTCTTGTAAAGAGAAGACTCTTAAATTATGCTCCGTCTCTTTATACAACTCTGGTATGCTCCTTGGAGATGGCATAGATCTGGTTGTCCGAATCAGTGCTGGATTATCCGAGTTACTTTGGTTCCTCAACTCAGGAGCAGATCTTGATCCTCTTTTCTTACTCTTAGGTTTCTCCTTGATGAACATAGAAAAACACTTCATTTTCTACGGAACATAAGTCCCCGATAAGGAACAAGAGAGAAAATTGAACCAGGTGCAAAGCAATGGGAAAATGAAGAAGAAAAAGGGAAATATATACAAGTATCGAAGTGGATGAGGATGATTGAATAGCTAGTGTGAAACCAAATCGATGCCCGGCTAAGAAGTTCAAGAGAAGTAAAAAGAAACACCTTTGGAAAATGTTGCTGTATGGCACCTGACACCTAACACGGAGAGTGAAAAGGGTTAAACTACCAAAATGCTCAATTTTGTTTCATTTTTGTTCACTTTTCATCATTTATTATAAACATTAATATGTTGATCTTATAACGTTTTAATCCTTTCGTTATCGATTTATACTGTTTTGATGATAACATACATTTTGATCACTATTTCATAAATGCCATTAGTATGATGATAAGATACACTAGTAAAGTAAAATGGGTTTAATGTTTAATTTGACCCATAAATTTTAGGTAAAATACTAATTGAACCTTAAACTTTAGATAAAATATCATTTTAATTGTTGAATTCAATCAAAATCTTTCGTGCCATTCACTGCTCACTATTGTCGTTGGTCACTGTTGCTCACCATCATCAATGATCCAAGGATCTCAAAATTTTCAGTTTTTTCCCTTTTTGACCCATGAACATGAATTTGATGTATGTTTAAAATTAAGGCTTTCTTGTTCCATCATCTTTCTTGTTCTATATCGTTATGTGATTGCAACTTAAGAAAAAATATTTGATTTTTCTTTTGTTTCCTGTAAATAATTGCAACTCAATAACAAATTAAGGTTTCATATGTTCAGTGAGTTGAGTGTACGTAAAAAATTTACAAACATCAGAAAAAAAAGAACGAATTGAAAATTTTGAGACCTAACGATTGTTAACGAATAACGATGGTGATTTATGGAGACTGACAATAACTGATTACATTGATGAGAAACAAGGGACTGTGATTAGATTTAAAGATTAAATTAGTATTTTATCTGAATTTTAAGAGTCAAATTATATTTATCTATAGTTTAGGTGTCGAATTGAAAATTAATCTCTTTTACTAACATGCCAGATAACCAAACTGAAATCATTTTAACGTCTCGATAACCAAAACTTGTAAATTGATAACATATATGACTGAAACATTATTTTTAAAATTTAATTAACAAATGTGAATAATTATGAAATGGAATTGATCAATTCAATAGTTTACCCAAGGAAAAAGGGCGTGCATGAAACGATTGAAATCAAGTCAATGAGAAGGACGGGAGAGGAGATCCAATGTGGCTAAAGAAACAGTAAACATGTACAAATAAACGAGGATAAATTACGAGTTTAATACTTAAACTATAAATTTTTTTATTTTTTTAATACTTAAAATTTTAATTTTTATTTTAATACTCTTGTTCAAAATTTAATGTTAAATTTTAAAACTTTTTGAAAGTTTAGATATTAAAACGAACTAAAATTTATTGTTTAGGTAATAAACACGTTCAACTTTTAACGGTGAGGTACTGAAATAAAACAAAAACTAAACGTTAAGTATAGTTTAAAAAATTAAAAAATTTAGGTATTAAAACATATCATAACTAATAATTTAGGTACTAAATTTGTAGTTTGCCCTATAAACAAATACAGAGAAAAAACACAAGTTATAAGCAATGTATCTCTTGCGGTTTTGGGGGGGGGGGGGAGAACGGGAAGGATTAAAATGATTTATTAATTAGGGAAAGATCGAGATAAGCAGGTAGGGACAATCGTAAAAAAAATCATTATATATTTTAAATATTTTTTATATTTATTATCGATGATTTATTTTTTATTTTATAATTTTATAACATTAATTGAAAATATCTTGATGGTTGGATTCTAAACTTCAATCTCTAAATCATAATTAGCAATTTGGAGTATTGAATTTTGAAAATTTTGGATAAACTACATGTTTAGATCTAAATTATTAGTTTTGATCCATTTTAGTACTTAAACTTTTTTTTTAAATCATACTTAAACTTTAGTTTTTATTTCATTTTAGTATCACTGTTCAAAAGTTAACATTATGTTTTGAAAAAATTGAAAATTTAGGTACTAAATTGGATCAAAATTGATAATGTAGTACTAAACGCGTTAAGTTTTTAACAATGGGTACTCAAATGAAACAAAAACTAAACATTAGGTATGATTTTAAAAAAATTAAAAGTTTATGTATTAAAATGGCTCAAAATTAATAGTTTAAGTAGTAAATGTATATTTTACCCGAAAATGTTTTATGGCATTTTGTGGGTGTTAGTGGAGGGTGGGTTAAGATGAAGCCATTGCAAAAATCACACGCACCAAGTGTTTAGACACAGAGCAGTGGAAACAACGGGGCTCCTCATTAAGTGCATAAAAGCAAATTGATTTACGTTGTTGTCGTTCATACAGTCAAGACAACTGCAAAAATGCAAACACCACAAATTTCGGCTATATATATATCGATTTTTTTAAAAATTAATTATAAAAATAATATTATTAAAATATTATTTATCAAAAAGAACTTTCATTTTAAAAAGAGAAAAGGCAACATGCTTATAGTATCTAAATCATATTATCTTTATATTATTTAAATTATGATTAATTTTTTTATAATTTATATATAATAGAAGTAGAGATAAAAAAAGTATTTAGAAAGAGAAAAGGCAGAATGTTTTTGCTGAAACTCGTCCATGAAAGAAATTCTAAATTGTTACTAAAAACGTATCAAACTCTTCGATAATTGAGAGAGGAATTTGGTTGGTGATGCGTTTACATCATTATTTTGTTGGGTGTTCTTCATGCGTTTACATGTTACGCCGCATTATTTCATTTGGTCCACATGCGTGACAATTACTTGTAATCAGACCCTTTATTTATTATTATGGTAAACTACCTATTTAGTCATCCAATTATCATTTTAGTTCCGTTTTGATCATTTAACTACTTTTTGATTTCAAAAGCATCACTAATATTACATTGTAGTTTCATTTTGATCAACTGTTATTAAAATTTAACAAAATTGTTGAAGTAACATTTTTTCAATGATGACGAGATATTATCTTACGGTGACATGTCATTATCATCCTTCATTTTTTAATGGTAGGTGACCAAAATGAAATCAAAATATAACGTTAGTGATGATTTTGAAAAAATAAACGATCAAAGTAGAATCAGAATGATAGTTAGATCACTAAATACGTAGTTTACCCCTTATTATTATCATTAATGGAAAACAAAAATGATTTAGACTGTGTACGAATGTTATATAAACATAATAATATCACAAATGATTCGATATGTTAAAATCTTAAGCGTTAATTAATTCAATTTACATATTAAATATTTATCATGCTAATCTTATGTTTTACTTTTATATTGTTTTCCAAATAATTTTTTATATAATTTCAATAGACATAATTTATGTATTTAGGTAGATTTGTTTTGGTATTACTTTTGAAAAGTGATTTAAAATGTGTGGTAAAAAATATTTTAAAAGTGATTTTGAAAAGTGTAATTTAAAATTGAACTATTTGATATTGCGGTCAAAAACAAATATTGAAAAGATAAAATGTGAATTTTAGACATTATGTTGTAAATTAAAAATATAGTATTTAAATTATATTTACACTTATTAATACTATGATATTTGAAATATATCAACTTAAAATATAATAAAAATATAAAAAATATTTTATGATAACCCTTTAATAATATTTTTTATATATGAAATAATTTATTAAGAATTTTTTTATCTATACTTCTTAACATGTGGACTTAATTGTGGAAATCAAAAGAGTTACGACTGAATACAAAAAAGTCCATAACTAGTACATGCCCTCTAAGAATAACTCAAGACGTACTATGAATATCTCGGCTGGTTTTGAATTGTTGTACTGGAATGCTCATGATAATAACTCCCCTTGAACGGCCTCTTATGAACCTTCACACATAAATACATTCCGATCACTGAGCTTACAAGCTTAGTGCCTCACTAATAATTGTACCATACTACATGTGTTCACTAAATGCGCTAGCTAGTGGCACATGTATAAAGTCATGACCAATACTGGTCTATTATACTGTGGCGAACGTCATGTGCGGCTGAGGATTATGTATCTCGGAGCTTACGCACCAATCTAGCTTGCCTGAATATCCTTGGGTATTTTAGGGTAAGATCCGGAATTGCATCGGAAACGTACACTTGACCAACTTACTCTGTCAAGTCTTGAGGCATCTATGCCTAGCTGGCGGTTAAGTGCCTTGGCACTAATTAGGATATTCAACTGACTATTGTATTCTACTAAAGTAACTAGAGTGTCCTGACTGTGTCCCGAGTATTAAACAAGACTAGTTTTATTTCATCCTAGTTGTTATTGTTTCTAACTGTTCTGAGTTTGATCAATGTTCTCACTTGTAGTTTTATTTCATGGTATTCTAGTATTATGAGATCCTTCAATTCTATCCTTTAAACTTTTGGTATTCTTTCTCAAAAATTGTCCGTGGGTACCGATACTAATCCCCTCAGTATCAGTACTGACCTCTAGGTATCAGTACTGACCTCTAGGTATCAATACTGATTTCTAGGTATCAATACTACTGGCAAATTTTAGGTTGAGAAATAAGAGTTAGTATCGATACCTTGGTTGGGGTATCGATTCTCCTGATATGGGGTATCGATTCTCCTGATATGGGGTATCGATCCTCCTGATATGGGGTATCGATATAAATTTTGGCTTCTATTGTTTGAAAAATATCTGAGCATCGATACCCCTTTTAATGGTATTGGTATCAAACCTCTTCGGTATCAATACCAAATTTGGCTTTGATGTTCTCAAAAATACCTAGGTATCAATACTTCTATGGGGAGTATTGATACCCTACCCATGGTATCGATACTCTATGAAGGAGTATCGATGCTACTTGCACAAAATTTCCTTGTTTTACTCTAGATGAAGAATCGTATTAGTATTGTTCCTCCAGTACCGATACTTGTGTCCATAAATGTCTTGCTTTGAGCACAAAAAATGCCAACTTCCTATCTCAAACAC